CGTCCCCTTCCTCTGCTACAGGGAGCAGGGGGATCGTGGCGCCATCTCCCCCTCGCGATGGACGCCCCCTGGACACAAGTTGTCCAACCCCGCGTCCCCGGCGTCTACAAAACCGCCCCCTCTCCATCTCGCACGAACCCTAGCCCTCATTCTCTTCTCCCTCACGCCGTTTTTCTTCCTCCGCGCGACAAGCCGAAGCTCCGTCGCCATGGCCGTCGCCAACCTCGCACCCATCGTCATCCCCGCCACCTAGGACTGCACCAGGGGCTCCGACGACCTCGTCCACATCAACTGCAGGCGCCAGTTCGAGGTCATTGCCCCTTTGTGGATTGGATCAACCTTGTCTTCTTCCACGGGCGCCATCGACGATCTTCTTCGGTTCCCTCTGTTGTGCTGCTACTAAGCCACCACCGGCCCCCTGTGTGCCTCCCCGATGAGCTTCCGCTCCTCCTCCTCCTTCCCTTACTCCGGTTCCGCCCCTCTGGCTAGCTAGCCGCCATGGTCGAAGATCGATTCCACTGCGATGCTCATCGCCGTTGTTTAGGTCGATGTCGAGTTCGCCTGAGCCCTCGGTTGTGCTCATCGGCGTCGTAGTAGGCCGTAGCACCAGCCCGCGGTCCCTACCGAGCCTCACATCACCATAACCACCCGCGCCCGGTCTCCCTCTGCCCGTGCCCCACTCGCACCCCTGTCTCGCATAGCCGCGCGCTCGCGCGCCCGTGAGCCTCTTTGGTCGCGTGCCCCTGCACGTCTCGGTCCCGCTCGCCTCATGATACGTCTCCAACGTATCTATAATTTTGACTATTCTATGCTATTATATTATCCATCTTGGATGTTTTATATGCATTTATATGCTATTTTATATGATTTTTGGGACTAACCTATTAACCTAGAGCCCAATGCCAGTGCTAGTTTTTGTTTTTTCCTTTTTTTTTGAGTTTCGCAGAAAAGGAATATCAAACGGAGTCCAATTGACCTGAAAATTTACGGTGATTATTTATGGACCAGAAGAAGCCCACGGAGCATCAGAGATGGACCAAAGGAGTCACGAGGCCGCCACAAGGGCGGGGGGCTCGTGGACCCCACCTGACTTGTTCTCGACGCCAACACCTCTTATATATCCCCAAACTTCCGGAACAGAACCTAGATCGGGCGTTCCGCCGCCGCAAGCCTATGTAGCCACCAAAAACCAATCGAGACCCTGTTCCGGCACCCTGCCGGAGGGGGAATCCATCACCAGCGGCCATCTTCATCATCCCGACGCTCTCTGTGCCGAGGAGGGAGTAGTTCACCCTCGATGCCGAGGATATGTACCAGTAGCTATGTGTTTGATCTCTCTCTCTCTCTCTCTCTCTCTCTCTTGTTCTTGATTTGGCACGATCTTTATTTACCGCGAGCTTTGCTATTATAGTTGGATCTTATGATGTTTCTTCCCCTCTACCTTCTTATAATGGATTGAGTTTTCCCTTTGAAGTTATCTTATAGGTGCGGCTACGACTGCCTGTGCACAAGTAAGGGGTACAAAAGGGCCCAAACTAATGTACACCGACACATTTGATAACATATTTTGCCTTTATCTAATTATTGGTTGCTCATTGGTAGATGAAAGAAAGAAAGGTTGATGGGAAAGGAACGTCTTTTCTCCAACAATGGTGACATGATTGGTGTGTACAAAGACCCCTTCTTTTTTCTACAGTTATCTTTGTCAATGTGTTGAAATGCATGGTAGAGATCCCCTCTTTTATATGCCTAACATTTGGAATCTCTACTTAACTAGTTGCTTGTTGAAAGCGGCGCACCTCTTTTGAATCAATACCTTTGAATAAGCTCATCTAATATGATGAACAAAAGTGCTAGTATTATCATATTAAAGCTCATCTAGTGCAACTAGTTCCTTGGAATATGCTCACCTTGTTAAAGCCCTGCATGAGTATACAAGAGTGACTCCTGAAAGCCTTGTATGGTTTTGTTGACAACAGATTTTAGCACGGCCAAGAACTTAATTAAGATGGCCTCAAATGGAGAAGTGTTTAAAGTGAGAAAGCTTCGTATCCTCAAAAGAAGAAACTTTGATATTTGGGCTATAGCCATCCGGTCTCATTTCTAAGGCCGAAGTTGTGTTCGAAGTATTCAGATTTTGTATTCAGAACACTATTCGGCTGATTACGCCCCTAAGGTGGCCTCATATAAGAAAAGTTTCTACACGGATTGTCTTCGTCTCGTCGAAATGATCGATTTTGATATAAGAAACGTCTAAATCGGAGTTCTTATGCAAAAGTTAGAGCCAAAACAGTGTGCTGCATAAGTCTGCCCCGGAAGTTCCGGGCAAAACTTCCGGGGAGGTTCCGGGCTAAACCGAAAGTTTGCACGCGGTGCGCCCCGAAAACTGGAATTTTAACATTATTTGCAGATTTGCGGGGCCAATTTCGACATCAAGATGACCTCGGATGAAGAAGTGATCAACTAAGCAATTTTTCTCCATTGCAAGATCTACAACTTTGCTTTTGGGACCATCGCGATCCGAAGCCATATGTGACCTGCAGGAGCTGTGCAAGAGGGAAACTTGATGTAATTTTAGCCCAGAAGTTCCGGGCTAACCAGAAGTTCCGGCCCTCGTAGTCCGAGTTAGGTTATGTTTTGATGTTTTGGACGAGATTTGAGTCCTTTTCTTGTACGGAAAGTCTAGCCACCTCATATATATGTAAGAGGTGACGGCCGATTGAATAACACCACACAATCGACATATCAATATATCAATATTTTACCTTCTCTCTTGTTCTTCTTCTTTCTCGTTCTTCGCTTGTTCTTCTTCATTGCAGGGCGGCGAACCTCGAGGCCCTAGGGGCGATCAGGTCGACCTAGGGCAGACCATAGCCGCCGTGCGCCCTGACGGGGTTCCGGTCCTCAAAAGCGCCCGCCGGATTGCCTGCGTACCGCGCTTTCGGCCGGGTCTCCTTCGACGTGAGCTGCGGTGCATCACCCTCGGCGTCGGAGGTACACGGTGACGTGTTCGTGTGCGAACAGGTTTGTACTGGAATATTCAGAATTAAAATTTGTTCAATGAACAAAACAAACTGGTCTTCCTAGTTTATTTTACTATCAAATGTGACCTACTTGTGGGCTTGCCCAAGTAATTTTGCGATTGAACAACAAAATAAGTGCTAGTTAAAATTTTTAGTACCGGATGTCTCTTGTGTTTCTTTATTTCTCATTTTAACTCTTGCTTATTGGCAGCAGATGAAATCATAAGCAAGGTTGAGTAGAAGAGAAGATCAATGGTGTGGCAGATAAAGAGCAATGAAAAAGCTACTTGGATTGTCTTCGTCTCATCGAAATGATCGATTTTGATATAAGAAACGTCTAAATCGGAGTTCTTATGCAAAAGTTAGAGCCAAACAATGTTAATAGAATTGAGCGTGCTTTCCTCTGGTCAGCTCAGAGTCAAACTTCAGGTGCAAAATACAAGGTCAACTGGGAGACTGTTTGCCGCCCTACGCATCTCGGCGGGCTTGGAGTCCTACACTTGGGGAAATTTGCAAGAGCTCTAAGGTTGAGATGGCCATGGGTGGAGTGGAAGGACCCGACTAGATTGTGGGTGGGCTTAGGAAACCCGTGCTCTGAGGTGGATATGGACCTCTTCTACGCCTCCACCGTCATCACCGTGGGAAATGGAGGGAAGACGCCCTTCTGGGAGGCACCATGGTTGAGAGGGAAAAAACCGAAGGATATCGCCCCCCTCATCTTCGCAGCCTCCAAGCGGAAGAAGTGGGTGGTGAGGGATGCACTGCGAGACAATGCTTGGGTGCGCCAGATCAACCCTTCCATCAACCTAACGACCAACCACATCGTGGAGTTCGTGGACCTTTGGGTCCATCTGGACCAATTCGAGCTTTCACCAGAGATTGATGACAACATATCCTGGAAATTTGAGGCGAACGGTGAGTATTCGGCGGCCTCTGCTTATAGGGTCCAGTTCTTGGGCTCCATGACGACGACCATGAACAAGACTATTTGGAAGGTTTGGGCACCTCCCAAGGTCAAGTTCTTCTCCTGGCTAGCGATTCAAAACAGAATATGGACGGCGGATAGATTGGAGAAGCGAGGTTGGGAGAATTGCGGACTGTGCACCCTCTGCAGAAGGGCAAACGAGACGTCCGCGCACCTCTTCTTTCGGTGCAGGTTCACCTTGCGCGTGTGGAGATTGGTAAAGGAGTGGCTTGGCCTAGGGGCTCTCGAGATCCATCAATGGCAGGCGGAGCGCAATATCAAACATTGATGGACAAACATGTCGAAGCCCAATACGGCGAACCGGAAGGCCATGGCTTCCCTTACTATGCTTGTTGGTTGGGCCATTTGGAACGAGAGAAACGCTAGAGTTTTTAGGAAGAAATCAACGCCGCCCTTCTACATTCTAAAACTAATCCAAGATGAAGCCAAACTTTGGGTCACGACAGGAGCTACGCACCTGAGCATTATCATGCCGCGAGAGTAGTTATTGTTTTCATTTTGCTGACGGACGGGCTATGTTGTGGAGCCACTATTATGTACTCTAAAACTCTCCTTCTTTATTAATGAATGAGGCAAGTCTTTTGCCTCTGTTTCAAAAAAAAAAAGCTACTTTGCAAGATTTCGAATCGTCCCAAGCTGCTTTACCTTTGTATTTATCGTATAGAAACAATTTTAGGGTCTAATTATGAAGTTTATTTTGGTGTAGTTGAATTTCGAGTTTGTATCCAGAGGTTAATATGCATTTTAAAGATGTGTGATGTCGTTAAAGTGTCGTCAAAATCTGGTTAAAAATGTATTTTGCACTGGATGCATGCAAAAACATTTCTAAATTACGTGCCTGTGTGATGGTGAAACACTTGCAAATTGCATGTGATAACTGTGCTGATGTATTTCATATTACTCTGCTTGTTGTGTTCTGCATGTGGAACTCTCCAAAGCGATGTATTCATATTACTGTCCCAAGCCAAACACTGTTAAGGAATCTGTTTCCTTTACACAGCCGAACCAAACAAAATGTGATTTGTCCAGTCTGGAACTGTTACACTATGTAATCCGTTTCCCTTTCCCTTTACGTTATTACCACTTAGGTAAACAAACACCTCCATTGTAGTTCGCACGTTCACCCCGGATTGAGCAAACGAGCGTTTGTACATTTGGTGTTCTTCATACATGATACATACGTGAACCTGACCAATGCCTGGTGCTCCAAGGCATCGATCATTATTTAGCACACTTGTTTCGTGTACTCCTTAGTTGGGCCTCCTGCAATTCAGCCTGACCTCTGTCTGCGTCCCGGAGGACGGCAGCAGGCCGCCCATCTTCAGCATGGCCGTGACGAAGTCGGCCGAGAACTGGCTGGGGCTGTTGCTGTACTGCTGCACCAGCGCGTCCTGCGACCCGCCATTGAAGAGCTCCTGGTCCGAGTGCAGGAGGCCGCGCTGCCCCACCAGGTTCTGGTATGTTAGACTATGTATAGCTTCTGTACTTATGTACGTATATTGTACGTATTGTAACACATCCATTATATATAATGAGATAAGCCACCCCTAGAGGGTTGTGCTGGTTCCCCCAAAACTTATTGTCTTACATGGTATCACGCTAGGTTACGATCGCTTCCGCTTCCAAACCCTAATACCCGCACCGCCGCCGCAGCCGCCGCCGCCTTCACCGCTGCCATGTCGAGCGCCGCCACCACCGGTTCCACTGCTGCGGGGTTCCTCCCGGCCTCTCTTGCGGCTTTGCTCAACCTCCCGCTTGATGCCGTCGCCGTTCCGGCTCCGATCGGGACCAGGAGCATCGGCTCCGTCTACTCGACGCCGCCGGCGCCCTCGCTTGGGCGCGACCTCGTGGTCCACACCGCGGCGCCGCCGTCCGCTGCGGACTCCGCGGGCGTCGTCCCGCCGCTCCTGCCGCAAGCGGATCACACCGCCCCGCTGGCGGGGTTGGCGGCGTCCGCCCCGGCCGCGGGCCTTGCGGCGTCCGACCCGGCCGCGAGCTTTGCGGCGTCCGTCCTGGCTGCGATCTCGCCTCCTCCCGCATCGGCTTCGGTGCCTCCGGCTGCCTCCATGGTATTTGCACCCCAGGCAGCCCCCTCGATGGGATCGTCTTCGCCGCCGCCGTTTCACTTCGGTCATCTCATCACCATCAAGCTCTCCGCCGACAACTACATCTTCTGGCGTGCGCAGGTTCTCCCGCTCTTGGGGAGTCACTACCTGCTAGGCTACGTCGACGGATCGCTTCCCTGCCCACCCGCACTGGTAGACAGCGTGCATGGTCCGGTCTACAATCCGGCCAATCGCGTCTGGACGGGGCAGGACCAGGCGAACCCCTCCTCCATCCAGGGGTCGCTCTCGCCGGCAGTTGCCGGACTTGTTGTCTTCGCGAAGACGTCTCATGAGGCCTGGACCATCCTTGAGCGAACCTTTGCAGCGCAGTCCCAGGCTCGTGTCTCTGCACTCCGTCGTCAGCTTGGAGAGTGTCAGAAGCTTGACTCCACTACCACTGAGTTCTACAACAAGGTCAAAGGCCTCGCCGACACATTGGCCTCCATTGGACAGCCCCTCACCGACATCGAGTTCAACTCGTTTATTGTCAATGGTCTTGATGAGGAGTATGATGCCTTAGTCGAGATCATCAACGAGCGGGGCAACTCGACACCCATGCTGGCACACGAGGTTTTCTCTCGGCTCCTTCTCACTGAGCAACGGGTCGAGACACGCCGCTCCAGGGGTACTGGCTCCCTCTCGGCCAACGCCGCCACCAAGAGTGGCCGCTCTTCTTCATCACCCCGGTCTTCCTTGGGGTTGCCACCGTCGCCCGCCTCGGTCCCCCACCTACTGCGACCTTACCGGGGGCTGGCGGTCCACGTGTGTGCCAGCTTTGTGGCCGCGATGGGCACTGGGCCTCCAAGTGTCATAAGCGCTTCCAGCGAAGCTTCCTTGGTCTTGGCAATGACGGCAAAGATACACGCAACAATGCCCGTCAGGTCGCCATGGCTGATCGTCCCGCGTCGCAGAAGCAACAGGGACACACTCAGTCCTACTCCATCGATCCACACTGGTACATGGACTCTGGGGCGACAGAGCATCTGACCAGCGAGATGGGGAAGCTTCACACTCATGAACCCTATCATGGCTCCGACAAGATCCACACCGCCAATGGAGCAGGTATGCACATCTCTCATATTGGTCAAGCATCTCTTCTCACTAGACATGCCAATAGGAGTCTTCAGCTTCGCAATGTTCTTCGAGTTCCATCTGTGACCCGTAATCTTCTTTCAGTTCCTAAACTCACACGTGATAATAATGTGCTTTGTGAATTTCACCCTTTTGATCTTTTTATTAAGGATCGGGGCACGAGGGACATTCTTCTTAGTGGGCGGTTGTGCCAGGGCCTCTACCGTCTGGAGCATCCTGGCGTCGCCCGTGTTTTCAGTGGAGTTCGGGTCTCTCCGTCACAGTGGCATGCTCGTCTTGGTCACCCGGCCACACCTATTGTCCGTCATATTTTGCGTCGTCATGAGCTTCCTAGTTTGTCTAGTAATAAAGATGTAGCAGTGTGTGATGCTTGTCAGCAGGGGAAGAGTCATCAACTTCCTTTTTCGGAGTCCAGTCGTGAGGTGAAACATTCTTTAGAACTTGTGTTTTCAGATGTATGGGGTCCTGCTCAGACTTCTGTCAGTGGTCATAATTACTATATCAGTTTCGTTGATGCTTATAGTCGCTTTACCTGGCTTTACCTTATTAAACGCAAATCTGATGTGTTTGATATTTTTGTTCAGTTTCAAAAACATGTTGAACGTCTTCTCAAGCACAAAATTGTTCATGTCCAGTCGGACTGGGGGGGGCGAGTATCGCAACCTCAACTCCTTCTTTCAGTCGCTTGGGATAGCTCATCGTTTAGCATGTCCACATACACATCAACAGAATGGTTCAGTCGAACGTAAGCATCGTCATATTGTTGAAGCTGGTCTTACTCTTTTGGCCCATGCATCTGTTCCGTTTCGGTTTTGGAGTGATGCTTTCACCACTGCATGCTTTCTCATCAACCGTACTCCCACTCGTATTTTAAACATGAAGACTCCCATTGAGGTTCTCCTTAATGAACAACCTGATTATACCTTTTTCAAGGTATTTGGGTGTGCTTGCTGGCCGCATCTTCGTCCATATAATAAGCGCAAGCTTGAGTTTCGTTCTAAGAAGTGTGTTTTTTCTTGGCTATAGCTCTCTTCATAAAGGTTACAAATGTCTTCATGTTCCCACTAATCGTGTCTATATATCTCGGGACGTCGTGTTTGATGAGCATGTTTTTCCCTTTGCCAAACTTCCTGTGTCCACTGTCGAACCACCATCTCTGCATTCATCCTCTGTTGCTTCTGACCAATTTGATGATGTTGCATACTCTCCTTTGCTGTTACCTAACCATGGTGCAGGAACCGGACGTGGGGCTCGTTTGGAGCTGTTGGAGGATTCACCATCATCATCGCCGCCTTCTGATGGGCACGTCGATCGCCCTATGTTGCATGGCATCAATTCGCGTGCCCATGCATGGTCACCCGAAGAGTCCGTCGCGCCGAGCATCTCCACTGCTCGGTCCGCTATGCCAGCGACCGCCGAGTCTCCAGCGGCTCGGCCCTCTTCGCCAGCGGCCGCCGAGTCTTCAGCGGCTCGGCCTGTCACGCCGTCTTCACCCGCGGCTCGGCCCGTCACGCCGTCTTCGCCTGCAGCTCGGGTCCGCGACGCCGTCCTCACGTCGCCTTCATCCGTGGATCGGCCCGCGACACCGGCCGCGCCACGGCCCACTATGCCGGGCTCGCCATCGGCCCGGTCTGTGACGCCGGCGTCGCCAGCTGCTTCGTCTGCTCTGTCGGTTTCGCCGGTGGGCCGGCCTTCTTCGCCGACCGAGCCCGAGGCTACTGTGTCTGGCTCCTCGTCACCAGCTGACTCGTCAACGTCGCCGTCCTCCAGCCCGTTGCAGGCTGCTCCGTCGACCTCAGTGGTTCCTGTGTCCCGACCACATACACGCAGTCGCAGTGGCATTTTCAAACCTAAGGAACGTAAGGATGGTACGGTTGCTTGGTTGGCTGCTTGTTTGGCTGCTGCTGTTGCGGATCCATCTTCTGAGCCTCGCTCATATCAGGCTGCCCTGCGCATTCCACATTGGCGAGAGGCTATGGAGCAGGAGTTTCATGCTCTCCTTCGTAACAAGACATGGACTCTCGTTCCTCCACCACCACGGGTAAATGTTATTGACTCAAAATGGGTATTCAAAGTGAAGAAGCATTCAGATGGATCTATTGAGCGTTACAAAGCGCGACTTGTTGCTCGCGGTTTTCGGCAGCGCCATGGTCTTGACTATGAGGACACCTTCAGTCCTGTCGTCAAGCCTACCACTATTCGGCTTCTTCTCTCCATTGCTGTTTCTCGTGGTTGGTCACTTCGTCAACTTGATGTGCATAATGCTTTTCTACATGGATTTTTGGAGGAAGAGGTTTATATGAAACAACCGCCTGGTTTCTCTGATCCTGATCGTCCTGACTATATCTGTCGTCTCTCCAAAGCACTATATGGTTTGAAGCAAGCTCCTCGTGCCTGGCATGCCTGCCTTGCCTCTGCCCTTCGTGCTCATTGGTTTGTGCCGTCCACTGCTGACACTTCATTATTTCTTCTACAGAAGCCAGAAGTCACTATGTATCTTTTGGTATATGTCGATGATATTATCCTTGTCAGCTCTTCTCAGTATGCTGCTGATGCTCTTGTCTGCTCTCTTGGTGCTGATTTTGCGGTCAAAGATCTTGGGAAGCTTCACTACTTTCTTGGAGCTGAGGTCACTTCTCGTGCTACTGGTCTTGTCCTTACGCAGAAGAAGTACTCCTTGGAGTTGTTACAAAGAGCGGGCATGCTGAAGTGCAAACCGACCACCACACCCATGTCGTCTACCGACAAGATAACAGCTGTTGATGGTGAGCTTCTGTCTCCTGCGGATGCCACAGAGTACAGGAGCATTGTTGGTGGACTTCAGTACTTGACGATCACGAGACCAGATATCTCTTATGCTGTTAACAGGGTTTGTCAATATCTTCAGGCTCCCAGAGATACTCATTGGGCTGCTGTTAAACGCATTCTTCGTTATGTTCAGTTCACCCTGACATTTGGTATGCATATTCGGCCGACTTCCTCTCGGGTCCTTTCGGCCTTCTCTGATGCAGATTGGGCTGGTAGCCCAGATGACAGGCGATCCACGGGGGGTTATGCAGTATTCTTTGGCCCTAATTTGATCGCCTGGAGTGCTCGGAAACAGGCTACTGTGTCACGTAGCAGTACTGAAGCTGAGTACAAGGCTGTGGCTAATGCTACTGCAGAGATTATTTGGGTGCAGTCTTTGCTTCAGGAGTTGGGTTTGTCTCAACCACAGCCTCCTATTCTTTGGTGTGATAACATCGGTGCTACATACCTTTCTGCAAATCCAGTTTTTCATGCCCGAACGAAACACATTGAAGTTGACTATCACTTTATACGGGAACGTGTATCACAGAAGCAACTCCAGATCAAGTTTATCTCATCTAAGGATCAACTTGCAGACATCTTCACTAAACCTTTACCTCTGCCACAATTTGAGGCTTGTAGGCGCAATCTTACCCTTCTCAGTTCTTTAGAAAGTGGCTAAGATTAAGGGAGGGTGTTAGACTATGTATAGCTTCTGTACTTATGTACGTATATTGTACGTATTGTAGCACATCCATTATATATAATGAGATAAGTCACCTCTAGAGGGTTGTGCTGGTTCCCCCAAAACTTATTGTCTTACATGGTAGTAGGCATTGTCAAACCCGTCGGCTGTCTGCACGTCGAAGGGCGCGAGGTTGCTGTCGCCGCCGGACCGCGGGCATGTCCCCTGCCGCAGCGCCGCGAAGCTGGCGTTGATGTTGGTCTCGTTGTAGATGCGGTTGCGGAAGAACTGGCACTGCGACCGCCCGATGGTGTGCGCGCCGGAGAGCGCCGTCATGTCCCGTGGCGACAGGTTCTTGTTGCCGAACATGGTGATGAGCGTGGCGAGGCTGGAGCCGGGGCCCGGGAGGTTCGCGTTGGCCGCGCTCTGGCTCGCCGTGCGCGAGTCCTTGCGCCCCAGCGGCACGCTCCACGTGGGACCTCCGAGCTGCATGCAACAGTTCAGCCGAGTCAGCCATGAGCCCATGACACGTAAATAAGTGCAGAAGGTGTAGTAGATCGAGTAGCGTTGGTCAGAGCCCGTTGAAGCTAGTCGCGCGCGAGGACTAACCAGGTTGACACCGTCACGGGCGGCGAGCGCGAGGATGTCGGCGCAGGAGACGGTGGCCCTACACGTAGCCTCGACCTGGGTCTTGAGGGCGTCGATCACCTCGAACCCGCGGGCCGAGTTGGCGTTCGGCCCGGCGTTCTTCTCGCCGGTGAACGTCGACGTGTCGTCAAGCAGAATGGAGCCGTCACACCCCTGCCGATGCGTAGCAGACAAACACAATTAAACTTCAGTACACCGCACGTACGCAAAATCCAGCAGCAAAAGCAAAGTAACAGATGAACACATTTGATGGAACATAACAGTAGAGAGGAACGGTGTTGCTCACATTGACGAAGCAGTCGTGGAAGAAGAGGCGGAGGATGGACGCGCCCATCCGCCTCTCCGTCTGCACGGCCGAGGTCATCCCCGACCGCACGATGGACGCCAGGTTGGGGCACGACGTGGAGTAGAAGTTGGGCGAGAGCTGCTGCGCATTCGCCTCGCCGGCGATGACACAGAGCACGACGGCGAGGCCAAGGAAGGCCGCCGACCTGGTGGTGAAGACAGCCATTGCTAGCTGGAGATAAACTCTTGTGATGTGAGCTCGATGAGGCGAAATGCATAGGGTGGTATCCTATTTATAGTGCTCCAGCTAGCCCGCGCCTGCATGGGCTGGCGGGTGCGCGGTTCCGATCACGAACGCACGAGAAATGCTGCAAAGTTCTTGCCCGGAACTCTGCAGCCGCAGCTGGACTTGGTTGACCAGTAATGGCTCCGGCATGGGCCCCGGCTTGGCACGACGCTACTGCTAATCAGCATGCGCACTCCCTATCCCGGTATCCCCTGCCTTGCACTGAATCATTGCATCGCATGCATGTGTTTGTTATCGTATACCGTATTTCCTCGAGTATTATAAGAGCGGAGAGACGTGTTGCTGTGCACGTCACGGGCATAGGGCTGTGCATGGGTCAGTCCGGATTCCTCTGAGTCGGCGCATTACCGGAAATTTCGTGGACCAAGGACGAGGACCGAATGTTGCTGATACCGTTACGTGCCGTACCACTCCACCACGGTGCATGCTGTTGCTAGCCATGTGCCGGTTAAGGCCTTGTACAATGAGAGGTGCTTAAGGTTTTTTTGTCAGAAAAGACCACATACACTCTCGCATTGACAGAAAGGACCATCTGCTTATCGTATTGACAGAAAAGACCAGCTATGCAGTGACGGCAGATCTGGCAGCCGACATGTGGCACCTGCCGCCACAATACACGGCGGCAGCCAATGCATCACAAGGATCCGGCCGAGCGAACGGAACGGAAGGGTGTTGATGGGCTGGGTTGTGCGCATGCATGCATGCATGCAAGTGCACGCACAAGCACTGCCTCCTCGTTAGACACGCGCAAGCCTGCATGCATGGAAGAGCGGCCACGCACAGCTAGCACATAGTGAGGCGAGGTTTGCCCAAAACATTTGTCTCTCGTCAGTTTCATGCATGTCGCTGAACGTGGGTCACGCGCACGCACAGGGTCACACGCACCAGCCAGTACTTGCCGCCACAGGGCATGGCGGCTGGGCCCACCAGCGCCCCTACATTCTGTTCGCTCGGCCAGTTCCCTGTGATGCACAGGCTGCCGCCATGCGCTGTGGAGGCAGGACCGGCCGCCGCAGGCTATGGCGGCATGTGACACGTGTTGGCTGCCAGATCTGCCTTCATGATGCAAGGGGTCTGTTTTGTCAATACGACGAATAGGTGGTCTTTTTTGTCAATACGAAAATGTTGGTGATCTTTTCTGACGAAAATTCGTGCTTAAGGAGATGTTTGGAGAAATAAACCGGATTTTTCTGAAGCACCGGTGCCTATTTCTACGGGAGAGACGCTTAGTTAAGCGTATATCCTATACAAATAAGCACCGGTACTTAAGAAAAGCCCGATTTATTTCTCTAAGCATCTCCTCTAAGCACCTCCCATTGTACAAGGCCTAACCAGACTTGCTTACCTGGATAACACCAGGTTCAATCAGAAGCACCACTCATTCTATATCTTATTACTATCTCACAGTTTGAAGCATCCGTATTGCTGTATAGGCTGGCCCATTAATCAGCTCGATCGGGCCAATCTGAAAGGTACTAATCCAGCATCATAGAGTTGTACGTAAGGACGGTATTACATCGCAACTTGCATGTGCATGTCGAGGTCAAGCAATTATTCTGGAGTTAGGACGATAATATGGAGTATATAAAACTATTGTATTTCGCCACCCTATATACATACATGCATGTTAAGATCAATCACTTTCGTAGGACAATGGAAAGGTTGGAAGCGTGCGCCTATCTCACTGTCACCCGCTTCAATGGAGTTTGAATCGTCCAGCGCTCCGCAGTCTTGCTAGAACACATCTAGATGAGATATAATTTGGTTTCATTCATCTTTTATAGCCATTGAATGGGATGCTATAAGATACGTGTGTGCTGATGTGGGTTGTATCTGTTCTTGTGTTTCAAAGTGAATGAGACCAAATTATATCTCATCTAGATGAGTTCTAAGTACTCCTAGCGACCCGTGCTAACTAAAAAAAACACCGATAACCATGTTTTAACCGAAAAGGGACACGAGTGCGTAACGTATGGACTCGAAAATGAGAGAACATTACGCGCTAGCTTTCTTTAACAGCTTGTTTGGCATCAAGGTTATCATTTCATTTCAAATGAAATGAAAATCTATTCTAGGGAGTATTTCATTGTGGTTGTGGGGATTTCGTTTCCAGACCCTTTTTTAAACGGAGGCAAAGGATTTGCCGCATACATTAATTAAGAGGGGAATAGAGTTTTACAAGTGTCCACACAACACTGCATGACAATTACTCGCGTATTATGGTTTCCCCTAGTTTATTTGCACCCGTGGCGTCCCATAGC